ATTTTGTTATGTGCAAATGACATGTATCTAAGAGCGTTAAGAATTAAGTAGCAAGAAAATCTTACAAATGGAAGTTCGACCTGTCAGATCACATGCTGCGTGGCGATTGTAATATATGGGACCGTTCATCGAACCGATCAAGCTATTGGTTCAATAGTTTACTAATAGGACTAGTGGTTGAACCGGTTGGACCGGTATTTAATATATTAATATTTTAAAATATATATAATATTATATATATTAAAATTTATATATAAAAACATAATTAATTAAATATTTGGATAATTTAAAATATTAAAATGCTTAAAACATATTCATAAATAGTTTATAGATTTCATTATGCTTACAGACTATGAGATATTGAGACTAAATATATATGAGATATTGTAAAATATTTTATATGACATAGAAGGTAGATATAAGAAACACAATTAATATAATACAAATATATTATTTCCTCAAAATAGTAATAAAATTCTTTAAGCCCGTTAAGTTAATATATATCTAATATTAATATACTACAAATATGCTTACCTCGACAGTAGTAACGAAAATTATTAAATTTCTAGGCCATCAAGCCTCTGAAACCTACTAGAATAGTTTGCAATGGAATATTTGTTATTTATTTATTTTTCTTTCTTAAATATTGTACTTAATTACTAGAATCATAAAAGGAAGATATGAGATCTGCTCGCCATCCTTTCTCTTCCATGGTTCTTCGCCTTCAACCATTTTTCAGACTGCCGCAATAAAGCAATATTTTCCACCCTATTTCAAAATCAAAGTTTGGATAGAGAATTCATTTTCCAGATCTGGTTAGAGTTGGTCGAAAATCTTGGCTATTTTTTTTTTATCCTTGGAGCTGCAAATCCTGAGCTTTAATCTAGCTAATCCAAATCGATTGAAGTCATAAAATCGTACTTCTTCTATTAATGGCGGTTTTTGCATAATCCGGTTTTTACCCAAGGACCGGACCGGAAAGAAGTCCGGTTCTCGGTTGAACCGGTCGAACCGGACGGTCCGGTCCGATTTTGACAACCTTGCTATATATATACCTCCTATTCTTTTTAAATATTATTTTGATTTTATCAATTATTAAACAAAATAAATGTCGTTTTGGATATTTTATACATATTTTTTCATTATTATTCTCATTTAGTTAATAAATATACTATGTCTTTTCATATTTTCTTCATTTTTTTTTTAAACATTTATCTCTATCTTCACTAGTAAGGGATATTATTGACAAAAAAATTATTCTTAATTAGTGTACAATTTTTTAAAAAACGACACTTATTATGAATAAGAAGGAGGGAGTACATCTTTATAACTACTATGGTTAAGGGAAGACAAGTGTGTTTTTAACTTCAAATATGAATTTTCCATGTTCAAAATTTTGTACTGGGAAAAGAAGCTAATTGCATCTCACCCATCACCTAAATTAACACGCTTATTGAGGATACTGTCCACGACAATATAAGTCCAAAAACGCGATTTTAATTAAAAGAGATTTGCCAGTTTTACTGGAGTGTGGAGAGAGTGGCGACTGCACTTTTCTCCTTTAGTATTTCCGATGGTGTGTGTTGTTCCATTTCATTGCTATATGGCCATAAAAATTTAATGTGACATGTAAAATTTTTAGAAGTCTTTGTAGATGTAGAAAAATTTGTAAACATTTTTTATCTATATTATATTATTTATTTTATATATTTCTCTCCACCAACTAATTATTTTCTTACACATATTAATTTATTCTACAATTGATATTCATCACATAAATTATTTTTATTTTTTTTCTCCACAGCATATATATCAGGATAGACATTATACTATGGGAGATACTCTTATTTATCTATTTCCACTCTCTTGCTCTCTCTCTCTAAAAACGGTGTGAAACAAACAAATTCCCAGAAATTCGAAAGCTCCAGATCTCTCCTCTTCAGTCGGTGTAGCTGTTTTTTAAGGTCCGCCGCCGGAATCCGGCGTATACTTAACTCTTCGGCGGATATATCGGCGATCCGCGTGAAAATGAGCAACGGCGACCTCCTCCACATCGAGCCGCTCGAACTTCAATTCCCATGTAATTTTTAACTTTTTTGTTTTTTTTTACGTCTCTGTTTTAGAAACTCGTGTTTTTTGTGGTTTGATTTCATGTTCGATAGAAGCTCTTGGAGTATTATGCTTTCTGATTTCGGCTTATCATAGGATGTTAGTTTAATTTTTTCATGCCGATATATTTTCTTACATATTAATCTCTCGTGATACTGATTCTTTCCCAATTTTTCCTTTCCTTGTTTTGTAAAAGTCGAATTGAAGAAGCAGATCTCATGTAACATGCAGTTGAGCAACAAATCTGATAATTATGTTGCGTTCAAGGTACAACTCATGTTTAGCTTCTGCTTAGTTTGTTCTGTTCTCATTTCTCGTGGAAAGTATAGCAAAATTATGTGAAGAAAAGAAAAGGGCATTTGCTTCTGAGAGTGCCTGATTTTCGCATTCCTTTGATTATATGTATTCAGGTGAAGACTACAAATCCAAAGCAGTACTGCGTGAGGCCAAACACGGGAGTAGTGGCTCCCCGCTCCTCCTGTGATGTTATAGGTCTCTTGAAGTATTTCTTTTCCTGTTTAATTCATTATATAGAGACTAATTCTGTTTAAATTTGAGACAATTCTAAAGGGAATATTTATTTCTAAGCTTGTAAGTTGTTTCGTCGTTCAGTAACGATGCAAGCCCAAAAGGAGGCTCCGGTCGACATGCAATGCAGGGACAAATTCCTTCTGCAGAGTGCAGTCGTGAGCCCTGGATTGATGGTGAAGGATATTACTGCTGAGATGGTATATCAATCTTGTGTAGTTTAGATTTGGAATTTTTGGGTTTAGTAAACAACAAGTCTGCTCTTTCTCCGTTGTTAATTTAGTTCAACAGAGAGTCTGGAAACCAAGTTGATGAATGCAAGTTGAAAGTTGTGTATGTACCGCCTGCCCAACCACCATCGCCTGTCCGTGAAGGGTCGGAAGAGGGTTCCTCCCCAAGGGCCTCTGTATCGGACAATGGAAATGTTAATCAGACCTCTGATTTCAATGCTGTGAGTATCTGGATGTTTCGTGAGGGGATGTGATTGTATTTGACTATTAGGCGCTAACCTTTTCAGTTTTTATTTAAAAGTCTGATATTTATTGGTTTTCTTCTATGGCTACAGGTTTCAAAAGGACGTGTTGAGACTCAGGAGAATACATCTGAGGTTCTTTCCCCCTTTTTTAACTTGATCATTAATTAATCATTTGGAATGTTTGCGGTGCTTAATTCAGTATCTTATTTTGCTTGAGTTGGTCATATTTAGAGTTTACTTATATTCTCACCTTTTCCCAGTTTCTGTACATGTATGTATTTGGAGAATCACAGGGATCACTAAATAAATTTCATTGATGCAATGTCTATTTTTTCTTCTTAAACTAGAAGAGCATAATAGAATTTGAAAATTTGACTTGATGCTGGGTGTTCGTCTCATTTCACATAATCAGGAATGATGTTATTGGTTGGTTTCCATTTTAGACATTCAACCTAGCTAGTAGTGATTGACCGTAGTGAATTTTTTCATAATTCTGAAAACGTAGATATCGGTTTCTGCATTTTACTCGGAGCTTAGTGCTTAGTGCTAAACAAATGTATGACACATTGGATTCTTTTGCTAACTGAATAAGTAACAGAAAATTGTTGATATTGGTTGTTCTTTTATTGTAGGTTAAGTCCCTGATTTCCAGGCTTACTGAGGAGAAGCATTCTGTAATTCAGCAAAATCACAGGCTTCAGAATGAATTGGTAATCATTTGTCTTCTGAATTGTTGTGGATTGCTTTCCCTCACTCAATTTCACCCACGTAGAGTAAATACTTCTGATTTGCATGATGTCGATGTGGACTCATGTCTTAACAATTAAAGGTCTCTGGGTGAGCTTGCATGAAAAACCTTATATGCATCTTCATTATGTGAATTTTTTTGGATCATGGAAGATCTAATATGTTACTATGCCGAAGCTATTGGATAACGTGAGAAGGTACAGCTAATCATGAGATGTAAAAAAAAAAGGGCATTTTGTCTAATTGAAGGGATGAACGCCGGAGGGGGTTGTATATATAAGATTCTATTTTGAAAAAATGTGAGCTTGCACATTTTTAGGGGCTTATAAGATACTTCCTTGAAAAATTTACGGAACACAGATGAATATCATTAACACTCTATGACATGTTTTGAATGTTTTGAAGAGCTTGTAGTCTCAGCGAAACACACTCTCGATGCGTGATGATTATTATTGTTATTACTATTAGCTGTTTCCTATTGTTTCTCAAAGTTTCCTCTTAATCTTAGCGAATCAATGAAAATGTATTCTGAATTACACTTGAGCATTTTGAGGCACTGTGACCAAAATATTGTTGTCTAATGTCATACTACAGTTTCAATTTGCCATCATTGACCCTGTAAATCCCATATGAAAATACTCCTTGTACATAAACATGGGGCATCTAATTTTGGATGAGATCGAGACCTGAGTGGAATTTAGTATGCAGGATCTGATGAAACCAGACGGTCAAAAGACTTAAGCTACGAGAGTGATTTTTGTGGGCCAACATTTATTTCCTTAAGAGCATTATTGTTGATTTCTCATAAATCTAATTGCTTGTAAATAAATTAATTGATCATTATTTGTTTATGTTTCTATACTGACAGGAGCTTTTGAGGCGTCAAAGGAGCAGAAGCCAAGCTGGCATCCCATTCACATACGTTATCATTGTTGGCTTGATAGGCATCCTATTGGGGTATCTATTGAAAAGAACGTGATTCATGTTTTGGATGTCTCGGTTGGCCGCCTATTCAGAAATTTAGCAATATTTGAAGAAAAATTGTCACTGATTTAGAAGGAGCTGTTGTGTTCAGTTTCAGTTTAGCAATTATTTGACTGTAGAAAATCCATGCTGGAAAATGGGTATGGGCTTGGTGTTTCTTTTTATTTTTTTTCCCTCAATTGCTCCAAAAAAAGGTTATTCATTGTGTGGCTGATTGCATGAACCTCTGGGCTCCAGTTGTGTAATTTAAGGATTTCACTTTTACAGATTTGTGTTATTTTATTTTTGCGCTTTTCTCCATTTTTCCGAAAATAAACCTTTTCTATTTATGGGGATTT